AAAAAAAAAAAAAGGAAAGAAAGAAAGATGATAGCAATTACGACGACAATGATAGAATATTAGAAAGACAAAATTGATATCCATTTTGTAGAGCATGACCTTAATTATGTTCCATAGGTTGGTAATTTAAACTTTAAAAATTTAGAAGTCAACACAAAAAAAGATTTAGATACACTAGGGAGGGTACACGAGAATTTACTTACCCATCATGGCATTTGACCTTGCAACGATTGAGATAATCATCTGTGTACATCCCAAATATGCCATCCAAACGTTTAACCAATTTTGGAAATTCCTCCAATGGCAATACATCCCAAACCTTTAAGACTTGGGTGTACAATGATTCCTTAACAACATCAATTGAGCAAACAATGTATAGTTCCCTGACCTTGAATTTATTCAACATCTGTGACAAGCCTTCACAATTGATGTCTAAATTTCTCCTCCTTGGTCGCCAGCCAGTAGAGAGCTTAGTTATTAAAAGAACAACTAAATTCTTCGTCTCTGGTGACTTTAGCTTGACAAATGATTTCCTAAAGTTGTCACTGAAGAGAATCTGAGGACAAAATGGTTTATCAATATATATATATAGAAAAGGGACAAAAAAAAAAAAAAAAAAAAAAATGAAAGAAAATTACTAAGAAATGAAAGGTAACTCTATATACCTTCCACCTGGCACCCTTGAACAGCATGCTATTCCCATTAAGGAAATCATCCAGTTCATCGAGCTCTTTTTTGACTTCTAAGATGACTTTTTCAAAATCCTTATGTTCATCAGCATTAAAAAAACACTGGCGAACCTTGGCATCAGAGATAAGTTCATCCCACACAGATCCACTATTACTCAGCATTGTTTCATTGCCCAAAATCCAAAGACAATGCCTAAATAAGGATTAATAAAAAAAAGAAGTTAACTACATAGTTCAAGAACTTTAAAGTATACTAAATAGTAAATCTAATATTATCAATAACCCATATGAAACCATACCTAGCCCTTGTCAAAGCAACATTAATTCTTCGAGGACTGGAGATGAAACCAATATTTGATCCTCTACCAGAGGATCTTACAGTTGATATTACTACAACATCTTCCTCCCCACCCTGACACCCATCTATAGATTTCACATTCACAACAAAGTTATCATGCTTCTCATATTTCCGGCCCAACCTCTGTTGAATTTCAGCAATTTGAGCAGAATAGGGGGATACTATACCAACGCTAAGCTTCTTCTTTGAAGCAGTGCATGCTGTATACTTTTTTGACTTTTTACAAAAAAACGTAAAATATGGATTGTGTTTGAAATGATGTGGTAGAGAAGTGATGTGACCCCCAAATAAGATGATTGTGGCCAAATAGGATAGTGTGCTAAAATGGCATGTGCTATTTTAGCACATGCCAAACACCTCCTAAATTAATGCAAATTTTCAAAATTCCTTGAGAAACATTTATTTATATGTTTTGAAAATCTGAAATATAGCATACTGCTAAATTAAAGTAAGAAAACTAGGACGTTTTAGAAAGCCATAAAGAAAATTTGTTTAGTTGACTTAGAATAATGTACATATATGTATTCCATTTCACATGTACTATCAGAGCCATTTACACAGAAAACTTCAGCTATAAAAAAATAAAAAATAAAAAGAATTGAACACAATGATAATAAATACATCTAGCCCTAAAACAACAAAAATAGAACCAACCAGCAGTACCTTTTCAACTGAGAAACATGTTGTTTTACAGCAAAGCACAATTTTGGACTCACTGTGACAAAAATTTGGTGCAAGATATCTCTTTTAGCCTCCTGAATCTGATTAGTCTCACTACTATCCTCCTGGTGCCTCCAGCTATCATCAGTGGATAGATTACTCTGAACTTGATGATAACCCTCAGATGCTAAATGATACAGTTGCTCATTCTGAAATAATTTCATGGTCAAAACAGTGGTCTTCCCAGTGCCTGACCTTCCAAGTATAAAGGTGCTTCTGTTGAAATGAATTATCTCTTTCTCTTGGTTTGTTAATTCGAAAGGAAGACACAGTTCTTTACCATTGCAGCCAGATAGTAGGTGGCTGACCGCCCCAATTGACAACGAGTAGAATTTCATCAGTAACAAACTCTCACTCACCTTTGCATCCTCAACATAGCCTTTGCCAATCAAAGAGGCATCATTTATTAAAGCTTTCCCATTTTCGGTCTCACTGAGATTCTTATATTGAATAAGACCAGAAGAGAGTGACCATGTCATAGGAACTTTGAAATCCCTAAACTCAAAAAAAAAAAAGGAAAGAAAGAAAGATGATAGCAATTACGACGACAATGATAGAATATTAGAAAGACAAAATTGATATCCATTTTGTAGAGCATGACCTTAATTATGTTCCATAGGTTGGTAATTTAAACTTTAAAAATTTAGAAGTCAACACAAAAAAAGATTTAGATACACTAGGGAGGGTACACGAGAATTTACTTACCCATCATGGCATTTGACCTTGCAACGGTTGAGATAATCATCTGTGTACATCCCAAATATGCCATCCAAACGTTTAACCAACACTGCAAGAAATTGAATAGAATGTGTAAATTCTTGTAGTGATATAAGAAATTGAATAGAATCGTATATATCTTACAACACTGCAATCAAAAGTTAACAAATTGAATCAAATTAAATCAAAAAATAATTCCAACAGATTCAGATTTAATTACTAACAGATTCAGATCAAACAAAATTACAGATTCAGATTTAATTTATACAGATTCAGATTCCAAAATCACTAACAGATTCAGATCAGAAGAGACCTTGAAGCTAACAACATATTCTGGGTAAATATGAGTATTCTTATTCATATTCCATACTATACACTGTCTTGGAGTATGAATATCATCGACTCCACTATCAAAGTCCTCACCATTGACACATAACACACAATCAGAAATGAACAAATAAACTAAGAGTCACAGATCTAAAAAAAAAAAAAATCACCATTGACACAGAAATGAACAAAAAATCACCATTGACAAACAATCTTAGTCACACAGAGTGACACAGATCTCAATAACACAAAAAAATCAGAGATTGGAGAGGAAAGAGAGACAGACAGCGACGTAGAGATCCGTACCTGGGAGGTCGATCGGTGCGATGAGAGTATGAGGTCGATCGGTCAATCTTGCGATGAGTGAGAGTCGATCTCTTGCGAGGTTGATCGGCCGAGATGAGTGATGAGATGAGAGTGAGAGAGTGAGTATGAGAGACTGATCAGATGAGAGTGAGATGAGAGTGAGAGACTGAAAAACGAGAGAGAGTGTGAGATGAGAGCTGCGTAATGTGTTTTTGAGTTTAGGGTTTTTTTCCTTTCTTTGTTTTGTTTGGGTATAGATGAAGTGAAGTGAACGGTCCAGATCTTCTGGGAAAAAAAAATTAAATTAAAAAAAATAAAAAATAAAAAAAGTTATGCGCGGGGGTTGGTCGGATGCGGTTCAAACCCGCAACCCGCCCGCAACCCGAAAATTAGAAATATTTCAAACCGCACCCTACCCTATTATATTTGTGAAACTGTCCATACGCGTACGGGTAGGGTCGGGTAGGACGGGTTGTGCTGATCGAATGACCCTATGCCCAGTCCTAATTCTCACCTTCACGTTTCAAATTTCCTTCCCAAACTTTTGGCGACCAAATATCATATTAGTCGCAGAAAAGGTACCTTCGCCGACAAATTTTTTTAGTCGCCAAATCTCAATCAATGGCGACTAAAATATTAGTCGCTAAATGTACTAATTTGGCGACCAATTTTTTTTGGTTGTTGAAAATAAGTTTTTGGCGACCAAATTTTTGGTCGCCCAAAAATATGTGACCTTCCGCGACCAAATTTATAGTTGGTCGGCAAAAGCATACCACTTTCTGCGACCAACTCCTTTTTTGGTCGCCAAAATATAACCTTTTGCGACCAATAATATTTGGTCGCCAAAAATAATATTTGGTCGTCAAATGTCATTTTTTTGCGACCAAAATTTTTTTGGTCGGCAAAAGTGGTCGGCAATTGTGTAAATTCTTGTAGTGAGAATCTAAGGCAAAATTATTCAATTAAATTATGATAAAGAGAGATGGCAAAAAAATTAGGGCAAACAAATATAAGGAAAAGAAATTAGGGTAAAATTATTCAATTAAAATATGATAAAAAGAGATGGCAAAAAAAATTAAGATAAAGTCATTTATTCTATTAAATTCTCGACATTAGACTCTATTTGGACTCATTATATCATATATATTTGTTTGGACTAATTGTATAAATCTTTAATTAGGCCTAACAATGATTATATATATACACACATAAATATATATATATATATATATATTTTTTGATGTGGCCCAACAAGTTTTTTTGACGGACCTTTTGGACTGGATCTCGAACAATAAAAAATTATTGGGCCTTGAATTTTTAATATAATATAAAACTAATAAATTTGGGCCTTATTTTAGGCCAAAATTTGGGAGCCTAGGCACATGCCTTAGTGGCCTTAGCCCAGGCCGGCCCCGTAAAAGACAACTTAAAGATTATGAGAAGGAATGGAAGGGCTGGTGCTAAGGTTTTTCGATTGTTAATACCATTTTCTTTCAAGGAAGTAAAACTCAAAATAATGATAGAATCAAACAGTATGTATCTAAGTTTATATTTTAGTAGTTAATTATATTTGTAGTGTTTTAATTTCTAATATATAGATCATATAATCTTACAAGAAATTGTAGATATATCTCTATGGCGGGTCTATACACTTGATTTTGCTCATTATGATATTGGTATAGCCCTGTGGAGAGACCATATGGCATTGGATGGATCTTCTCAACCATCTTCTGCTGACAGTTTGGTGGGTTATGCATCATTTGGTTTAGTTCTGTTCGATTATGTATTTTTCTTCTGTTTTCTGTTTTCATTTTTGAAAAGCACATATCATAGATGAAACATCAGAGACTAAGCACAGAGAGAATTAATATATATTTTTACCTCCATTTGGTCACCCAAGAGAATGAGGAGAGCGTGAGGGATTTTGGGAACTGTACCATTTCTCATTGCTGAAGACTTGAAGACCTACTTCATCTTGCAAGATCACAGCGTATCCTGACCCATCTGTATGAGGTTTCAAGCCCAGAATCAGATCAGGCCTCCGACATTTCGAGTAATAGTTAAACCTCGCTTGCACGATCAATCGTTTGCCAAACTGTTTCAGAAAACAGTTTTCTTCCAGATTCAGTGACTTTGCCATGGCTTTGGAGGTAAGCTCTGTTACTATTTTCATCTTCTCTGTGTATTCACTTAGCACATCGCTGCATAGTTGCAAACAACTTTTTGTTATTATTTACTAATAATTAACTTGAATATGATATGAGAATGAAATTTACACCATTAAAAAGTCCTGTTTGAAGCTGCTTTAATTCCCTCACTTGGGTATGTGCTTGAAGATTATGATTGTTTATCTTTAGTAATGATAATTATGATATGATTATGTTGCTATTATATCTGAATCTATTAGGGATGAAAACGGATACTCGGAGCTTTGTTTTAATTAATTTTTGAATATATGTAGTAACTTGTCTCACACGTATGGTTTTGAGAATGACCCCAAGGGGTCAAGCATTTCATGAGATTCAAACTCATGATTACCTATCCTTCTGAGTATTTAATGAGCCTCCAAGATAAGATCACAGTAATATCTTACAAGTGGTTAAAAAGGCATGAGATCATTAGTTTCACTCTTTGTACTGTTATCTGTTTCATACTATTTTAAATTACTTTAGTGACTTAATAATTCATAGTGAAATGAAACATAGAGTGAGGCATATGACATGTACTCGTTAACCACAAAAAAAAAAAAAAAAAAAAAAAAAAAAAAAAAAAAAAAAA